AGGAAGAGAAAGAGGGGAAGGAGGGACAAAGTGTTCCCAGAGAGTACTCACTGAATATTTACTTGGAGATTTGGAACTTTTAATGGAATACATTTCAAAGGATAGCGGGTCCAAGTTGATTGTAAATGCAGCTGAAGAAAAACTTTTCTTTGAAAGTATTTAAAAAGTGTCACAGACTGAAATTGGACTGAAGAGATGAGAAACCTCTGAGCAAAATACCCTCTTTATAAAAGTGCAAATACAATCTTATCAATGTATGAGAAGAAAGTGGAATTAGGAGACTTTGGTCCAACTTCTTGGACACCTTCTAATTTGAAAGAAATAGAAGGGCACTATTTTTGATGAGTGATTTCATATTGAAAATGGAAAATCAAACTAATGATGTATTAACTGAAAGAAATATTTAAACTTTAAATACAGTGAAGGATTACATTTTAAGGATTGCCATGGAAGGTAAGAAAATAATCCAGCAGCAGATTACCCCCCTGGGCTGCTGCTCTGTTCTGTGCTGCCATTCTCTCAGGCGGATGCCACTGGGACTGAAAACATAACGAATGACTGGTTTTGCAAAACAACCCACCAAGTTTTTCCTTGGTGTTGGGGCATCGTTGTCAGCTGTCAACTAAAATATTTCGCCTCCAAAATGTTTGGCTGTAGGATCTCACAAACATCTGAACTTCACACCATACTTCAACGGCTCCAGATTTGCGCTTCTGGGTTTATTTGATTCTTGCTGAATGATTTTCAGACATAGAAAACTATAATATCTTTCAGTGAAAAACTGGTACGAGTGAGTTCTGCTTTGCTCAAAGATTACCAGAGAGATTTACTCACTTCTGAATTCTACCCCTGCAGCTATTGATCACATGTTCAGTAGTTCAGCCTGCCAACCACGCTTTTCTTGCTTGGTTAACCTTCAGTCCAATCTGTAGCTTTCTTGTAGAATCAGCAAATACTCAGTGCTTTTCCCCATACTCCCTGATTTTGACTCTTTCTCACCCTGCCCCGGGGTTGTAAATTGCATAGCTGGCATAAAGGTTTCTAGTAAACTCACAGCAGTGATGACTTTGCGTTATACTTCAAACCACATGTAGTAGATGTCTAGATGACACATGGCAGAGGACGCTAATGTGTCTGAGGCTCATGCATGTTTTAAACAAATGTTTTTAAGGACCTCTGCTGCTCCGGCTTCATGCATAACAAATATGTCTTGGTTTGTGTGGAATATCAGTTGGCTGTGCATGTACACAGAGAGGGAAAAGAACAACATATTTGAAACAATCTTTGAGCATTACTTATTCATTTGTATTTTGAATGCCGCCTTAAAGGAATGAGTATACACAGGTGACACTGATCTGGGTATTGACTTAGCATATTTGTTTTAAACACGGCTATGATTCACAGCTTCCCTGAGAGTTTGGGAGATTAATTTAATTCACTAGATTGATTACTTCAGTTTATGTTGCGGGGGCGGTTTTATTTATCCTTCAGTAAGTCTCGTTGAACGTCTCCCTGGAGAAATTGATTTCACTCGTTCTGGATGAAATATATTTATGCAGTAGTTTTTGTGTGGTATAAATAATTTCATAACAATTTCAATGGAGCCTGCATGTTCTTTTCATTTCATTACCACTCCATGCTGTGCCTTACCAGTAAGGGAAAGGATTTGAAACCACTGTCTTACACAAGGCAAGAAGTCTAAAATATTCATGTTGCCTCTTGAATCATTCATGTTCCGTGTTTGCGATCATGTATGATGAGTTAGCAAAGGTGTTTTTATGAGTGTGTGTGGATTTGTATACATAGGAAGCCTATAGGCCACACTAAAAATGCATGTCTGGACGCACAGACAGAGTGCAGTTTAATTGTCTCTGTGTGAGACGACTGTCAGATTGCATAATGTGCTTGTTATTCAAAAAGTCAACTCGTTGTGGACAGCACTCTGTCTCATGTTCAGAACGACTGCATAATTTATATTCTGTATCCTCTCTTCCTAGTCTACTGCAACTCTTACAGAAAGTAAGAAAGGAGCATTTTAAGAAGTGTTGATTCATTTCTCATTCATTTCAACAATATGTTCTAAAAAAAGGTGGCAGACTTAACACCATCTACAGGAGTTGTATTTCTCTCTTCCAAAATACACGTATGGGAAGTGACTGAACTGCACAATTGATTCTCAAACATTCCCACAGGACTTTTTTCCTTATTAAAGCAGCCGAGTATATATATATATCTGTAGGGTTTGATATTCTTAAGTTGCTAAACATGTGTGATAACATGTGAGATTCGGAGATTCGGAGACAGTTTCTTCCCGCGGGCAGTGAGACTGTTAAAAAATTGAACTGTTGAAACAACTTCAAACATTCAACTGCTACTCAGTAGTATGTATCTAATACCTAATATATATATATCATTCCAATAACTTGTATATAGACTCATACTGCACTATTCCACATCATAACTTTATTTCATTTTTATAACTATTATTATTTTTGTATTGCTCATGCTCTTATTGTTATTATGTTATGTTATTATGTTGCATTGTTGGAGAAGCCTGTGACATAAGATTTTCAACTGCATAATTACTCTGTAGCTATGTCAGATTGACAATAAAGAACCTTGAACCTTGAACCTTGATATATATGGTGGAGTTGCACCGTATTGCCCTTCATCCTGACTTGGTTAGCAGGCCCGTTGGACTCAGTCTCAGGGGGATGAATTTGTTTAGTGGAGAACGAGTGGAGAAGTGACAGTCCTCTTCCCGAGAGGTTAAGTGCATCCTGACCTTTTGGTTTCCCTGCTCCAGACAGCCTAACATTTTCTGAAGTGGTCCCCCAGCCAGGCTGATACCAAGTGATACTACTTGTGGCTCCCCTTTTGTGCAGTTCTTTGGCATTTTAGTCTTTATTTGATTTGAGTTAATGGAGGAGAAAGACACATGCAGCCTGATTTAAACCCAAGATGAACCATTTGCTTGACATTTGCTTAATCAACTCAGCTGTAAAGATTATTCTATTGTGTCTTTTGCAGATATTCCTTTTTTGTTTGTTCTGCACGTGCTAGCTAGTTAAGACACCTTTGCACGCCTCAGTTCCCGAAGGCATTGATCAATAGCTTATGGGCTACACTGCAAGGGTAATGTGACCTCTTTTCACAGAGCTTGATATATTCACGGTGTAATTAACTTGGTTACATTAGCCGTTAGCTTCCATGTCTATGGATTATTTATTTAAAGCTGTCGCTGGTATGCTAAGGAAAAGTATGAATGTCTTTGCCCTTTTTTACTTCTGTAGAACTTCGTAGCCGTGCGCAACTGAGCGACAACTCTGACCGAAGGCTGATGTATTTTACATTGCAAACTATTACAATTAATCCTAAAAATTATGTTACGTATATTTCACATTCATTTTCACCCAATGTTGAGATAAGTTTCTGAACTTCATTGATGAAAATAAAACTTACCACATGTATACTACCATCTGTATATCTAATATATATGTGTAAATACTATGTAAAAAGTATTATTTTATGCTAGGAAAATCAACCAATACTTTTGACATCTAAAATGTCATCTATAACATATTTAATGCTCTATACTGTTCAATATACTGGGCTAGTGATTCAACTGCAGCCATGGTTGAAAAAGTATACAAACAAGTTGCACATTAATAATTCATTTATTTTATAATTTAATAATCAGACTGAATTGAGTCTAATGCAGCATTGACCACATCTCCACTGGTTCATTCAGCCAGTCATTTTCAGACCAGTGGGAGACACTGAGAGCAATGGTCGTGGTATCACAGAGATGCATGGTGTATGCATGTATATATAGATGTTTAGTGTACAGCTGGCACTCTGAGAGCCAGACATGAAGAATTGATGGCAGAAACCATTAGGTCACTCTGTGCTCTGCTCTGGACGTGGTAAAGGTGGACACTGAAGTGCATCAGTGGGCTGAGTTAATTTAAGTCACTCAGACTAAACTAAATCTCTTGTCCAAACAGAGAAAATATGTTATAGTTCTTTAAGTGACTTTATTCTTTCTGTGGGATTGATCAAATAATCTTTTAATACATTTCTTGGCTCATATGAGCGGCACATCACCAGCCTCTTGAACTCCTGGCACGCACAAACATGCGAAGGTTATCCAACTTCCTCTGTTTAACGCCTGATTTCTCTCCTTTTTTCTATATTTTTGAGTCTCAACGTTAATATTTAAAGTGTACCTTATTGATAATCAGGGATGTAAATAAGATATTTGCCACAAATGAATGATTAAATTGACCTGCAGCAAATTTTAGTAGCATTCCAGTCACATATTTTCATTAAAGCTCTCTTATCGTTACTCCTACTCTCGGGCATAATATATGATTTAACGTTAGGGAGTTGTCTTTCTGTTAAGTTTCTTATTTCCTCAAACAAACTCACATTCACTTCTTTTTTAACACTGTCTCTGTAGTACTTATTTCTGATTGCATTTCCCTGTGCCTGTCACACATACAAAATGAACCATGGCTTTCATGTGACCTCAACATGTTGTGGGAAATCTGTCCTGTGTGTGACCCACCATAAAAACCCATACACTACATTTCTCATCTCGTCTGACATTTATTGTAAAAATAGCTTTGAATTTACACCCCTCCTGTTCTGTCTGTCACTTGGAATGAATGTTGTAAAATGGTAATTTGACTTGTATTTTGCATTAAAGTGGCTGTTAACAGTACATCTGATGGATTCAGCAACATGTTAAGCAGTCAATTATTCAGTTACTTTTCTGCTGCCTAGACCTGAGAAAAAAAAGACATCATGGTTTCTGGGGTGTTACATTTGTCAAGGAAACATGTCTCTAACAAGGGAAACTCATATTTTGAATAGAGCCATTTAATATACAATAACTGAAATAATGTTTTTGCTTATTTGAATAAAAAAAAACATAAGCTTTTTGTTAGAACTATTCTTTGGATTATTTAAACAAACGTTATAACTTCTCACAACTGTGTTTGGCATGTACATTTCATTTTAAGTTTGCATTTCTTTGTTTGCCATAAACTTGTGCACTAACTATGCAGTGTGTTATTCATTAGCCAATCGGTGGCACTGATCAGTTTTTCATATGGAAGTAAGTAGAAGAGTCGCTAGGAAAACTGCTAATAGTATGATTTTATCCTGAAAACACTTCTGCAGAGGTTATACCATCTGTCAATGATACTCTTTTACTGAACTGTAACACAGGCATTAACATTGAATAAACCAAACACATAAAATCGCAAAAATAGATTCCAATTTGCCCTCAGAAGCCGCCACTCTGATCCCTGTCCTCATAGCAGAGCACATCATTTCATAATGTTTTTGAATGGGTTTATTTGTTGCTATGGCATTGGCTGTTACTTAAAATTCAGAGGCAGAGTGGAAATGCTGTTTCCATTTCTGTCTCTGTAACGACGAGACAAGCCTCACTGGGAAAAGCATAAATGTCAGACACTTGACAAGCCTCCCTTCCTCAAACACGCATATATTACAGTAAATTAACTACCTGTACCCACACATACAGTACACACACACCCACACACATACATACACACACCACTTTCAAATATAATTGCATGAACATGGCAACATATACTGAATCTCTGGAGTTTTGCAGTCTTTTCTAAGTGCTTTACTGTACCACAGAGACATGTTATGGGAGCAGCAGCACACAGAATAACACAGAGATTAAGACAACATATATTTCATGGCTTTTCATTTCCGCTGGATTAAATCCAGTCCTTCTGAGTTTCCTCGTCCCACACCGTCACACCAATCCTTGTTTTTGATCTCTGCCTTTGTCAAAGAAAATAACACAAGTGTCCCATTGACATTTAAATGGTCTTGAAATCCTCTTTCTTCATCTTTGAAGAAGAGTTCCACCATTCTTCGGGATCAAGATTTCCTTTTTATAGCATGCATGATTAAGCCTATATGGATGATATGCTTTAGGGATCTAAAGAGCTATGGCACAGAGCTGTTTGATATAAAAAAAAACAAGATGGGACATTTACGTGTACACAGTACTTCCATTATAATTATCATGTTGTTTGCTTTTTCTCTTTCACACTCACTGTTCTTTAAAAGTTTGAATCAGTTTTTTTCAGTGGAAGCGTCTGCATTTCATGAGTTTCTGGAAAGCTTGTTTGAATTCATCGTTGAATACGGTGTAGATAACAGGATTGATGAGGGAGTTCAGGTATCCCAGCCAGGTAAATACATCAAAAAGCACTGGATCAAACCAGCACTCTTTACATATGGCCGTGACGAGTGTGCCCACAAAGAACGGGAGCCAACAAACAATGAAAGCGCCCAGGATGATGCCCAGTGTCTTGGTCGCTTTCCTCTCCCGAGCCGCACACAGGCGTTTCCTCTCCAGCACGCTGTCTGCCAGCTTCACTTTCACGCTATTCATGAACAGAGGTGATCCTCCCCCACCTCCCACATTGCCAGAGTGTAGGTGGGCTTCCTGGTTGGAGGCAGAATTTAGAGAACAGAGAGAGGAGCCTGCAGAGGTCTGGATGAGCTGTGCTGTGGTGAAACGCTTCCCAGAAGACGACGGCGTTTTAAAGATGCGGGAGCGGGCGGCTACATAGATCCGTCCGTAGAGGATGATGAGAAGCACCGTGGGGACGTAGAAGGCGCCGAAGGTGGAGTATAGGGTGTAAGAGATCTGATCTGTATTCACCAAGCACTCTGTGAGCTCCTCGTGGGCTTTGGACTGCCGCCAGAAAAGTGGAGGCATGGAAATAGATATGGAGATCACCCACACTACCCCGACCATGACCGCTGCCCGGCGCATGGTGCGGCGTTTTGTGTACTCCAGTGCGTCTGTGATGGCCCAGTAGCGGTCCAATGCAATCACACACAGGTGCAAGATGGAGGCCGTGCAGAAGGTGATGTCAGACGACAGCCAGATGTCACAAACAATCTGCCCCAGCGACCACGTCTTGCTGACAGTGTAGACGATGCTGATCGGCATTACTAAAATAGACACCAGCAGGTCTGTGACAGCCAGGGAGCCGATCAGGAAGTTGGCAGGTGTGTGGAGCTTCCTGGTCAGATAGATGGTGGCGATGACGAAGGCGTTTGAAAGCACGGTAGCCAAGGTGACGAGGGCTAACACGGCAGAGAGGGAGATCTGGAAACCGAGAATTGTTGCCTCACTCCAGGGTGGAGCTGTAATGGTGTCAGGGTTTTCTGTGGAGTTGCTGGTAAAGTAGTCCAGTGAGCTGTTATCCAGCTCCATCTCGCCTCCGCTTCTTTTAAACCCTCTTTTTTTCCAAGGTTTAAACCAGCCTCATTACATCAGTTCAGGCATGGCGCTTAAAAAGGCTGTACAGTGACGTGGCATTTTTGGTTAGGGCTGAAGAAAAATGCTTAAGCTTGTCTTTTATGCTTCTTATTTCACATTGCAATATCCCTCGTATTGCTATTTTATATCAACCATATAACAATCATCTAGTTCCATCCACAACTAATGCTTCTGTAGTTTAAGCCGGCTAATATGTCCATTTAGTCTCTCTCATATTGATTCGCCTCACTGGTGTAGCTGCTGGAGAGAGGAATCCTAATTTGTATTCAGCTCCTGTCAGGCTGGCACTCCTTTTCTCTCTTCCCAACGCTCTTATCTCATCTCCAGCCAGCAGCCAGCCGGCAACAACACCTTCAGACCAAACCTTCCTATCTATCAAATGCTTTAATGGACTCCTCCTTTTCAATAACGCTATGCTGGGAGCTGCATGTAGGAAGATGATGACGAAAGATACACAAGGCTTGCTTGTTGTCTCTCTTCTTATCTGTTCCCTGTCCACGTGAAGCCTTCTAAATTGAGATTTGTGCTGAAACTTGGCTAGTGTCTTTGATGATATTAGAAAGCCAGAACATTACAGTTACATGATGCAGAGGAGGACACACATCCAGGAGTCCTTTGGTTGATTTTTAATCATCTCGTAGCTTTTAGCCGATCAGCAAAGCCTTTTTTTCAGGTACTAGGTGTGTGAAAGCTTTCCCTCTTCACTTTCAGAAAGCCTTTCAGAAGCAGCGTCCATACAGCGAGGAAGGATTTGTCATGGAGCTTTCTCTGCAGCACGTTCATCCTATAGGTGAGATAAATAAGAGAAGAGCAAAATAGAAAAGACAAGATTAGTTCTATTGAACTTTACCATCATCCCCTCCCACGTACTGGATACAGGCATCCACAAACTCTCCTTCTACATACAACACATAAGGGGCAATAAAGGAACCTGAACAATGGAAACTCAACAGCGACCTGTAAACAGAGCATTATGACTTGATACAGGGACTTAACACCCACTCACTTCCAGCTGTTTTGTAGATGTATCACATTTCACCAAAGTTACACAGTCTATACTAAAATTATTATTTGAGATTGTTGCGGGAATAAATTATATGTTTTGCCAGAGCGACTACTTTCCCTAATTGACAGTTCCCAGAAAAATGAAAAGCATGTTGGTTGACTAGTTCATCATTTCCTCTCTGCTCCATCTCTGTCCGACTTCCTCTGGATTTAATTTGGATGGACTGGAAATAAATATGTAAGAAAAAAAATTGAATTTCTTTTTTTAAAGCACACAAATCTCATTAACCAAGAAAACCGTCTTTCTCATTTGGAAAGCCTTATGGACTTTTGGACTTGTGATTGATAAACTCGACTTCCTTCACATTTACTGTTAATGATGCTCAGGAAATACAAAGACACTGACCATATTGCCTCCAGGTAACAGAAGCTGACTTACTTTCAAGTTATAATGAAAGAGATAAGAGCTGAAATGTGGAAATGGGGTATGGTGCACCAGTGGGCATAAGGACTGTTAATCACCATAGAAGGCATTCCCTTTCCTCCAGCTTTCCATATGTTCGGTTTGCTTTAATGTATAATTTAAGAGCAGCAGAATGGATAATAACCACTTGTAATTCAGAGGAAAAGTAAAAAAAAAAACGTAATTCAATTACACTACTACAGGATAAGTTTTGTAACCACATGTCGATGTATTCACTGCAATCTGTAAAATAGGAATAGATTAGGGAGTGTAATGTGATTATTGGAATACGGTTTGTATGAGTGTTCATAGGACTGCTTTTTGTTACACATCCACAGAGTAACGTTGAGGAACAAAGCTCTGCCACAAACATAAACATTTTTCTTTGCTTTTACACAGTCAACACATCCTTCTGTTGGCACATTACGAGTGTGACAACTGATTTCCGAGTGCATGTTTGTTCCCGATACAACTCTGCAAATCACCTGCATTAATAAAGTGTTGATAGGCAGCCTTCCCTTGTGGGGGATTATTGTGCTTCGTGACAATAAATATGCTTAATAAATAATAGAGTATAAATGAGAAATCAGTTTAGCGCATTCTATTACTGGCTCTCAGGAGAGCATTCAAATGATTACAAACCAAACTGCAGTACACGTACAAAGAAGCAGGCACAGAATACTGATGGTACGCATCCAGGCGAAAAGGTGCAGCGTACTGGAACATCCACACAAACAGTGGTCCAATTTATAACTGCGATATAAAGTTAACTAATGCTGCACAACAGGCATGGCACTTTATCATTTCATTGTAATGGCTTTACCATCACACAGTGTCAGTAAACCAGTGCTGCCTCCTAAACCATATGCATTGGTCCTACTCTGCTCTGTAAAAGTAAATGATAGGTTGAATGCCTTCTTCCCTCGTTCACAACTATTTTAAAGCAAAGGAATATGTTCTGTCAAGCTCAAACTATGGAGGAGCAGTGGTTTTTAGAGTTATTCATTTGCATTGTAAGGCAAGGCAAGGCAAGTTTATGTATATAGCACCTTTCAACACAAGGCAATTCAATGTGCTTTACAAAAATGAAAGACTTAAGAAAATGGCATTTAAAAACAGTCATTAAAAAGCAAAGATAATAAAAAATAAAAAAACATGAATAAAAGTTACAGTGCAGTGTAAGATATGAATAGTTCAATTAAAAGCAGCGGCAAAAAGAAAAGTCTTCAGCCTGGATTTAAAAGTAGTAAGAGTTTCAGCGGACCTGCATGTTTCTGGTAGTTTGTTCCAGATATTTGGAGCATAATAACTGAATGCTGCTTCTCCATGTTTAGTTCTGACTCTGGGGACAGAAAGTAGACCCGTCCCAGAAGACCTGAGAGATCTGGATGGTTCATAATTTAGCAGTGGGTCAGAAATGTATTTTGGGCCTAAACCATTCAATGCTTTATAAACCAGCAGCAGTATTTTGAAATCAAGTCTTTGACACACAGGAAGCCAGTGTAAAGACTTCAGAACAGGAGTGATGTGATCCACTTTCTTAGTGTTAGTGAGGACTCGAGCAGCGGCGTTCTGAATTAGCTGCAGCTTTCTAATAGATTTTTTAGTGAGACCTGCAAAGACACCATTACAGTAGTCGAGTCTACTGAAGATAAAAGCATGGACAAGCCTTGTATAGGATTATTAATTGAAACTATTGAAGATAAGGCTGTGGTTTGTTCATACCAATAGCTGCCTAGACTACAACTCAACAGTTAATCCATTTACATCAGTTTTTATCACTGAGCCATTTGTGTTTAGCAGTACTCAGTCCAATATCAGAATTAAAACTAAGTTGTCCAATCATAAGTGAAAGTGTGACAGGTACACGCAAGAGTTTGGCATGATTTGCTAATGCTTATTTGAGAGCACAAATTAGGCTTTTTCTTTGAAACCATGGACTATTAATTGTTGTCGAGTCCTGTCAAATAAACCCATCAATTTATAGAACAGTATCTAATAGGCTAAAAGGTGTCCAGTATTTTTTAAAGTGATGTTCTTTCCCATGTACTGTCTGGGGACTACTCAAGCAGTAGAGGCAAAGATAGACCTTAGTAAGAGTCACACAAACAGAAAATAGATACATAATTCCTCATAATGCAACTGAATTGCTTATATAATTGAACCTCCACGCTTGATTAATGCCTCCAATTTTCAGAAGTCTTAAGCCAAAATGTAGACAACCATGGTAATATCACTCAGATGAAGAAAGCTCCCTACAGAACCGCAGAAGACATTGAGTGTCACATTAAAACATTTCTCAGATCTCAAAAAGAAACCTTAACGTGCAGATGTGATACAGATAACTGTCACTGACGGCGGGTGAAGATTACCCAGGCGTGACTACCTTACAGTCACGCCTCATCGCATCAGTGGAGAGGAGATTGATATATTGATATTGACACACTCCACACAGTGAGCTTAGTAAGACGATCGTCGTGGGCAGCATTGACCACACACACACACACACACACACACACACACACACACACACACACACACACACACACACACACACACACACACACACACACACACACACACACACACACACACACACACACACACACACACACACACACACACACACACACACACACACACACAGTATCATGGTTGATAGATGGCTGAAAAGCTTATCTGTATACACATCAAACAAGTCAAGGACAAGGCTTATCTCCTCTGGGTCTGGTTTACAGCACAATGAGGTAATGAGGTTCATAATGAATGGATGAGAGGAAAAAGATTTTCAATCAAGAGCAGGCCCTGCCTAAATTGGGCTGTATAATGTTTGTGTGAAATATGTTGGCTTCTACATCTGGCTTTGAAATTGAAGATCTAATTCAGGGAGGCATCTCTCAGCCCAATGAAAGGAGACGTGCATTTATCTTCGTTTAAACAAGGGAAAAAGTTGGAACAACAAAGCATGATCACAATGATATAAAACACAAACATCTGATTGTTCTTGTGAGTCTTTCGAAGAGCATGACTGGAGAAGAAACACAGTAACGCAGCCCTGCCCAGTTAGAATGCATCACAAACCCATTCACTACAAATCCAATTCATTCCTCTCAGGCTTGGGCCAAATCCAAGCAGATGCTGCAGTGTGTGCGGTGTTTTTATGTCTTGGTGAAACAGTAATACCCTCTGAACCCAGCCGGCCTGCAAACACTGCACGGCCCCACTGGAGATAGACGAATTGATTTAGCCCAGAGAAGGAGACATTGCTACCTCTGCTGTCATGCAGCTAATATATGGTGTTCTCTCAAGCGTGCAGTAAATGGGTGTGGTTGTGTTTGTGTGTGTGTGTGAGGGGAATTTTACTTCAACATAAAGGGATGCTGGGGATTCATGATGGGGTAAATTAAAGAGGGCTTGGATAGCAGGAGTCATGGGAATAGACAGTTGCAGCTTCATTTTGTAACCAGGGGGTCATTTCCAATATT